GGCCCTGCCTACCTGAACGAGCGCTTATGTCCGTATATGCCCGACCGCCCTTTGAGATCTGCGGGAGAGTCCCTTCTCCGGGAACCCTCCATGAAAGAAATTAGGAGAGTAAGTACTCGGAGGAGGGCTTTTTCTGCGGTGGCGCCCAACCTATGGAATTCACTCCCCAAAGAGGTCCGCCTGGCACCGTCGTTACTGGTTTTTCGGCGCCAGGTAAAGACCTTTTTATTTAAACATCATTTTAATTGTTAAAATATATGATCTGGCCAGGGCAACTTTCTTCTTCCTTCTCTTTTCTCCTCCTATATTATTTATTATTTTGTACTGATAATTTTAATTTTATATTATTATGTTCGTAACTCAGTGTATTTTTTGTATTTAATGGTAATTTATTATGTTCTATTGTATTTCAATGTATTTTATTGTATTGTAAGCCACCCCGAGGCCTCGGCAAGGGGCGGCATAGAAATGTTATAATAATAATAATAATAATAATAATAATAATAAATAATCTTGAAAGCTATACTTATTTCAAGAGTTAACATATTGATGCTGAACTTTATGCTTTGTAGAAATCTGTTCTCAGGGACAATGATTCTTTCTTGTCAGATGCTGAGGCTAAAGAAGATTGAGCCTTTTGTAGGCAATTTGGACCATCCTCCAAGGGCTTCAAAGCTGCTATTCCACATTCTAAGAAGCCATAGGCAGTTTAAAGAGGAGGGGAACAGTTCCTTTCATCTTACTCTGCCCACTTGGGTCCCATGCGGCAAATAACTAGCTTTTTTCTAGGGGAAATACCAGCTCATTTGCTGATCAGTTATATTTCAGATGTCTGGTAATATTTTTCCCTGAAGAATCTATATAATAGTGGCATATTTATGCTAAATCATCAGATAATTATAATGAAGAACAGACACCTTCCAAGCTTCCTTTCGGACTATTTGATTTATATCCCACTTTTTTCTTACAAACTCAAAGCAGTTTACTCAAAGCAATTTTCCTTCTCCTGCTCTCCATCCTATTAGCACAACAACAACCCTGTGAGATAGGTTGGGCTGAGAGTCTGTGGAGGGCCCAAAGTTGCCAGCTCGTGTTGTGACTGAGCAGGGACTGGAACCCAGATCACCTGAGTCCCAGACCATGCTCTTATCCACTATGCCACACTGGTTCTCTTGGTATTTCTATAGCTTACATTATAGAAGGGACTGAAATAATTGTTGAATAAGAAGTTGTCTGAGTTGATTCCACAGTATTACAGTGTGTGCTACCAGCCTACAGCCTTATAATCAGCGGGTTATTCAATATATGCATTCCTGCTCTAAGCTTTAAGGCTCATCCTTGAGGCAGCTTCTTGTGCCATGGGTTTCAGCCTTTTATGGCTGGCTGACCTGTCCTCTTTACATAGTTTACTCCAGTTTAGGCTTCTAATGGCAAGGAAATTTGTTTTTCTGAAGAGATTTAGGCAGCAATTTGTAAGGAATTCCATGGGCTACTGTATAGTACAGTATAAGGGGGTTTTTTTGTTTGAGATATCTCCCTCTCAGAGCTGGCATTAGCATTTTACACCAGCTTTCCTTGCCTAGAACAATACTCTTTTCTTGCATATTTCCTTAACTGTAGCAAGTGTTCTAATTTATCTTATTGCTGGTATACATTGGTGAGTCCTCAACCCCTTTGCTCTCCATGATGCTCTTATCCCTTTAATGAAGATTCAGTTGCATTGTATAATGGATAAATTTATTTTGAACAGTAGTGATTATGTAGTGCTACCTAAGTCTTTGTATACAACTTCCTATAATACTATGGCTCCAGATAGTGTAATCTTATCCATGTCTACTTGGAAGGAAGTCCCATTAGGTTTAATGCAGTGTTCTACAAGGTGAGTGAGTATAGGCTTCTTGCCTGAATTAAAATAACTTCAAATTAGACTGTTTTATTTTTGCCACAGATGGTGGAAAAGTAGTGCTTTGACCTCTGTCGTAGCTGCATTTTAAAACTGTGTTACTCAGTATTTTATACTTCTTGTAGATTATTTATGCCTATCATTTTCTGCTGTATCAATAGAGTGATGCAAGCTGTTGCTAGCGTCAGCTGGTCTTGTTCCTTGGACCCTACGAAATGTAACCATTCATATTGACTTGACAGGTCAGTGGCATACAGGTCATACAGTGAAAGATCTTGGTACTTGGCCATTAAGTAGCCCATGCATACAGAGGTAGCTCACAGAATTAAGGCAGCATTTGTTATATTCTAAAGCTAGCCAATACTCCTTGAAGCCTAAATGTTACTGTTAGCATAATTCCAATATACATGGACCAAGGGAATAATAAGCAGAGAGTTAAAAGATGAAGGTGTGCAAGCAGAAACAGGCTTAAGAGTTGCATATGGATCAACCGGATTTGTTTAACTTCATCCTGGCTGCAAGATGATTCCATCCACACCTTTAGAGGAGGGAAGCAGGGGGGAAAGCCATGGAAAGGCAAGGAAACTAATGGAAGTAGAATGTTCTGTTTTTATGGGGCATCTGCATAGTCATTTGGAATGGGGCCAGATGTACACCATCCCTTCGCTTTTCCATCAGAAGTGTAGGCTGCAGTGAATTACAGAAACAGAACAGGTCTGTCAGTTTGCATAGCCTGACCTATGCATAGTTGATGAAAGGAAGCACCCTTTTTATTAAGGGTGCTTCCTTTCTGTGCTTCCAGTTTTGTATGACTTTGCTAAACCAATAGCATAAGAAGCTGCCAACCAAATGAGCCCTCAGATGGAGAATGTGTGGCTCTCCTGATGTTGTTGGATTGCTCCTCCCATCAGCCCCAGCCTATGTAGCTGATGGTGGGGGAGGATGGAAGATGCTACAGCTGGAGGGCCAGACATTCCTCGTGTCTGCTTTGATGTTTAGAGCAGCCTCACCTAACTTGGAACTCTTCTGAAGTGCTGGAGAACAACAGTCATTGTCCTCACCTTTATGGCTACCAAGGTTGAGGATGATAGGTGTTTTACTCCAACCTTTCAGGAAGGAACCAGGTTGGGCAAGGATGGATTAGACCAACACCTGTTTCTCCTTGGATATGTCCCAGATCATGCCAGGGCCAGACGGGTTTGTCCTATCCTAAGTCATTCCCAAATGTTGGAATGTCCAAGGGTTCAAAACTCCACCATGCAGAACTTAGCAGCAATGGTGTTTACTGTCAAGCAGGTTTGGAGGGTATTTTCCATTATTAAGCACATCCTTGATATATAGCTGGAACACAGAATGAGAAACTATTACACAGAGGCAAATGGCAGACATAATGTTTGGATGACACGGATTTTCCTTTCTCCTGTAATGACCTGGTCCTGTCAGCTGGCCTTCTATGCAAACTAGCCTTCTCCCACATGAAGTACAGCTTGGTCCTTCCTGCTCTCTGCTCTGCTGTCGTCTATACCTTGACAATGGGGATGGTCTCTTAATGACATTGTGCGTGCACAACATTGCTGCAATGCAGCAGATTTGGAGTTGCTGATCTGCTGCTGCTTTATGGCTCCATGTCAGCAACATGTGCCCCCCCCACATGGCCTCAAGTGTGACCCCCACTGCCACTTCTGCACCACCACAATTCATTGATCACAGGAAAATCCCCTCCACACCACTCCTCTATTTTCTGTTCCCACCCCCTCCCCAGCTGCATCAGCGGCCTGCTGGAAAATGTAGGGCTTATGCATGCACCCAAGTGGTTTTCCTTGCTCACTGGACATCACAGGTTATACAGAATTTTCCCATATGCTGTCTTAATTTCTAAAATGCCAGTTTTGAGGGATTCAGTTGTCTACGAATGACACTCTGTAACATACATGTCTTGGTTTCTAATCCTGTGAGTGGCTGTGAGTTTTTTTAATGGCCAAAGAAATACGCATTACGCATATTCAGAAGCATATTTGTGGGATGGAAAAACACAAGCAATCTGTGTCTGGGTAGTAAGTGAATGAAAGGTACATGTACTGTAATGCCACCTGCAGCCAAACAGGTGGGTGCCCATAATGGGGCCTTCTATGTTGTGGCACTCAGACTTTGGAATGCCCTCTTCCCACACACCCTCAGCCTCATCTGGTAGATAGCAAAGATTTTTGGGCTTATCCTGCTATGTTGTGCCAATGATGATCGCAGCTTTACGTTACTTTCCCCTCTTATTGTTTGCCATTAGTGGCTTCCTTTTTCATAAGCCCTGTAGGTCCTCCTTGCATACAGATCTGTTCACAAGCACAGGCATATCCCTAGAGTTTATTTTAAGTACTCATTTTCAATTGCACAAGAATCCAGTGCATGTGAAATTGAATCCAGGGCAATCCAGTCTCATCTTCAGCAAGTGAGCACCTCCCATGATTCTAATGGAAAACGACAGAAAGATGAAAGTTAGTGTTTCCTTTCCTTTCCTTTCCTTTCCTTTCCTTTCCTTTCCTTTCCTTTCCTGGTGCGCAGCATGTGCCCAGCAGCACGTTAGAATAAACCCTGCATGCGCCTATACTTTTCTTTTGCGGGGAATCGCGAATATAGATTTTGACACACAGATATATGTGCCTATCGAGCAGGATTTTTTTCTAGTCCCCGGTATGGCCGAGCTGGTCTGGGGGGGAGAGAGAGGGGACATCCCTCCGGATCGAAGGGGAAATCCCTTTCAGACGAAGAGGGAATCTGCGCTCCGCTGCCCTCTTAGGCGGGCGTAGCGAACGCAGCGCCTCCTCTGCTGGCATTTCGCGGCGCGTGCGGCACCGCGCCGCCCGGGCTAGACCGAGGCAGCGCGAGGGCCTGGAGCGCGCGCCGCGAGCGCCCCCGTGGCTGGCTCCGGCCCCTGCCTGGTCTTCCAGCTGGGCTCCGGGAGGATGACTTGGCACTGAATCCCGCTCCGGCGGGGTCCGCGCTTCCGGGTCTTGGCACAGCCCAGCCCGCCTTCTCTCTGGGGAGCGGGGAGGGGGAGGGAGGCGGAGCGCCCGGGAGCCGGCGAAGGAGGGTGAGACAGCACAGCGGCGGAGGAGGTAAGCAAGAGCAGCTCTCCCGCCGCCGCCGGCGTCCTCCTCCTCAAGTGCCCTTCGGCCAGATCTCGCCTGTGCCGCGAAGACCAGGGGGAGCCGACGACGCCACCCGCTCCCTCTCGGAGGAGGCGGCGGACGCGCTTTCCGCGCAGCTCCATCCATCTCCGCGCCCGCATCCTTCTGCTGCAGCGCTCCGAGCTCTCCCAGCCAGGTAGCTCTCTTTGCTCCCCTCTCTCCTGGGCTTTGCGCGGGAAGCGCCGGGGGGCGGTGAGACTCTGCGCCGCGGGAGGGGGGGGGCTTGAGGTGATTGCAGCGGGGGAAGAGGACGGCGGCGCTGAGCGACGAGGAGGGGGCTGCCGGCGCCCCTCCTCCTGCCCACCCCCACGTCCAGGCTGTGTCAGAGCGACCGCCGGCTGCATCTGAGAGGGGCTAACTGATGCATGCAACAGAAGCGTCACGTCGCCGCAGAGCGGTAAGGAGCTCCGTCCCGTTGCCTGCCAGCTTGGCTTCGCGTGCTCCGGGCGTGCGTTTGCCCAGACGACAATGGCTGCGTGCACTGCGACCCAACGGCCCCCGGGCCGGCCAGGGAGCTGCATCTGCCCGGCCCCCCAGTGGGGAGCAGTGCACACGCAGGCCGTGCCGGCACGCATCGTGGCCGGACAGGCAGCGGGAGAGGAGCAAGACTGCATTGGTGGTCATGCTCCAGTGAGCTGGGGCCTGTGTGTTTGCGTGTATGCGAGGGCATAGGAGGAGGCATGCTCGCATGTCCCTTTCTCAGGTAGCACAAACATGCATGTTAACTGGGACAAGTCTGCATCTTCAAAGTAGGAGGAGGCTGAGGCGGCGGCGGCGGCGGCATGCGTACGGATATCGTTTTGTTTTATTCTAGAAGGGAGCTCTTTCTTAAAGCAAAAAACAAAACCCGCTTGGGTCTGTGTTTCCTAACTCTCGCGCAATTGGCTGATGCTAAGGCAAAGGGGGCTCCTGCTTTCTCTCCCTCGGTATTGCTTTGCAGTCAAGATGTGTGTTTCCTGCATAGCATAGCGGGAGCAGGCTGGCTGCATTAACGATGTCATCAGAAAAGCTGGGCCTGGAAAGTGATATCTATCTTCCGCACAGGATGATAGAAAGATGCTGCCTGGGCATACTTAAAAAGTTGTAATGTGATGCTGATAGTGAGCTGTGATAAATGTCTAGATGAAGCTTAAGCACTCAGAAGGGTTATCAGGGCATGTTATGTAACTAACTCAGTGGCTATGAAATGAATTGAAATGGAGTAAAGCCAGCTTGGAAGCTCAAATTGTTTATTTTACCTTCCATTGAAAAACTGGGATATTCTTCCTGCCCCAGAGATAACCATTTTAAAATACGTATTTGTTTAAGGAATTGTTGCCATGTGTTGGAGAAGATGCTAAACTGTAAGTTTTGGTGAATAAGTTGGTATTCTAAACTGTCTACTTCCTCTTTTCCATTAGATTGCATAAATGAATACTATTTTTATTCGCTAAAGATGTTGTGAGATGTTTATTTTAGATCATTAAAAAAAGGATGCTTTGACAGGCTTTTCTTTGTCAGTGTGATAATCCTAAATGCTTCCTTTCAGTTAAATTCATTTCAAAGCCAAATTGTCATGATGCCACTTAACACTCTGGGTTTTCCTGTCATCATATAACTATCCTGTTTTACCATTAGCAGCTAGCAAATAAAACAAAAACATTTCATTGTACCTCACATACTGAAACCAATTTCCAAGGATACACAGAAACTGCAGTATAACTTGAATTTAACGTATCTGTCATCTGTAGGGGAATCTGTCTGAACCTCTTCAGAAGCGTTGTGCTCATAGATCTGCCTGAATAGGCCCTGCAAATAATCACATATTTTCTTAAGTGTGGACACTGAGTTAGGTGTGCAAGCAACTGATTAATTTGCCCACCAGTAAAATGTATAGTAGGGTCCTGAGTGAAACTAGCTTCCTATTACATGAATGATAGATTAGTCATTCCCTGTATTATTACCTATTGGCTCAAAGACTAAGTAGTTTCCTGATAACATGGCCCTCTTTGGGTGTGAGTAAAATAGTTTGGATCTGTCGAAACTATTCTTTGCTCATAAAGCCATACATACCCTAATTTAATGGTAATTTTGTCTACATGACCTTGACTTTAAGAGCCCAAAAATGACTGGTAAGGAAACAAAAGATAAAATGATATGGTACTGGGAATTAGTTTATTTGAAGAAACATTTGTATAGGCAGAAAATGTAAATGTTCTTCATCATCCTCTTGCACTGGAATCCCAAGCTTTCTTATCTGGAAGTATTCCATAAACTAGATCTCATGGAAAAGTCATTGCATATGAGTTCTGCTGATGAAGATACCATTGCCGTAGTATGTACATTTCTATCTAGCTGAAACATTTACAAGGCCCTTGCATGTCTCTTTCCCACAAAGATCAAATATCCTCCGCCCTTGATCTACATCAATAATGATGGGTGGTGGGGAGAGAGATGCTCTCTATGTGATAGAGCTGAGAAATGTGGTAAGATCCTGTGACTGTTCTTATTGCAGGGGAGGACAGAACTTGACACAGGATGCTGGTTCAGGGGTATCTCCTTTGCACTGAAAATATAACCTTTCCCTGACTTCTGAATACATATGCTTAGTGTGTCAGACTGGAATGCTAGTTTAAATATCAAATGTGTTGTATTAACTGCAGCCCTGAAATTATTTGCCTCTGCCTTTTACATATACAGAAAACATTTGTGGATGTGCACATTCAGTGTGTGTGCGTGCGCTTTAATTGTTGTAAGTGGGCCTAAGGGTGGTGAAACAGAACGGAGATAAACTTTGCAAAACCTCTACAACCCCTCCTCCCAAAAACATGTACAGGCAGTCCGCGGGATGTGAACGAGTTCCTGAGAAAACAGAAATTTGTCTTTAAGTTGAATTTGTATGTAAGTCGGATCATGTATAGTCAGCCCATGATCCCTGTGAATTCATTCACAAGCCATGTCGAGGAGGAGTGAATGAGTATTCTGTCTTCTGTCCACCTGTGGTTTCCATTTTCAGTCAACAACCCAGGAAAACCCTGGAAAAACTGTGACTATCTCTGCTCCGCTCCTGCTGAAACTCACCAGCAAGGAAATGCCAGAGGGATTTCCCTCTCCAGATGAGCAGGACAGAAAGACTTGCTTTGGAGGCCTCCCTCTCTACCCTTGCACTTCCTCTCTCTCTATGGTGATGCTTTGGAGGGCTTTCCTCTCTCCCTTTTTGCTTCCTCTTTCTCTGTGATAATGACGATTTTCCGCATCGATTTTAAAAAATTAATAGGCCTTATGACAGTTCGTTTGTAAGTATGGATTCATAAGTAACTCAGATATTTGTAACTCAGGGATTTCCTGTAGTCTTAAGATTATTTCTACAGCTTTCAAAAATGCTATCAACATAAATAATGCACCTATTGAACATACACATGTACATTATATGAGACATATAGTTATGGTTATGCATTTTTGATTGCATAAACGCAAGCATATTTGCTATTGTCCTTCGCTGGAGGTTTCCTACACTCTTGCTCATAAGAATTTATTTATTTTACTTGGCCTTTTAGCCCTTCTTCAATAGTCATGGCAAATGCTATCTTGTAAGCAACTACCGACTTGAATAAAATCTGAATAACGCAAAGCTTATTGAATCATTGACAGAAAGTACTGAATGACTTGGCAAATTAAACCTGTGCTTTACATGGTACATCTAGTGTGAATGGGAGCATATGTTCACTGCATGACATAAATGATACTGAGATAATTTGAAATTAAAATGCTAATAGAAATTATTCCAACAAGCATGAACTATATTTATTGGTCTAATAATTGCCATTTCAAGGTGACATGTGCACCAGGTCAGTACATGAACTAAAACTGAAATGTAGGATAAGTTACAAACTGTGTATATATATCAGTTCTTGAATGAGAAGGTTAACGCATTGACCTGGTTGACACATGGCAATAATATCTGGGTTACCTAACCCAGAAATTGTTAGGGATGAGCAGCAGTGACTGAACATGCTGCCACTTGTGCACTCAGCACTTCCACTTCCATTCAGTGCCCCATTCCTGAGTTGTTAAAATGACATCCAGATGTGAAACTCTGGATTGTTTAGAAGTTAATCAGCCACCCATGGCTTGCTGTTGAGTTAAACTCTCGGTTGTTTTCCTCCTAAACAACCCAGTGTTCCAGGTGTGGATGTCACTTTAAGTACTCAAGGTTTTCCTGGGTTGTTGATTGAAAATGGAAACCACAGGTGGACAGGAGATAGACCACTCATCCATTCCTTAACATGGCTTGTGAATGAATCACTGTTTTGGAGTCTGTTTCCAGGCAGAGGAAGGGGTTTTCTCCTTCTTGCTACAGCCCCTTGTCTCTCTGCTTTGGAGGGATGGGGGACTCTCAAGAATGGCATGGGATGCGTATCAGTGGTTTGAATCAGTAAGAGGGGGTCACTGAAAATTAAGAACTCAAACTACAACAGAAGCGCATTTTGCTCCTGCAGTGCTTCCTTTGATCCAAGTCATTGTGCTTCATACTACCTATCTTCAGACAGCCCTTCTAGCATAGATGTAGTTGCTGTGTCAGCAGCCTTACCTTAATTGGGTAGTATCACAGGATGCTGATATCCATGTGGATCAGTTCCAAGACCCCCAGTGGATGCCTGAAACCATGGATTTGTAACACAGAAACCTGTTTTCAAATGCAGACTTTTAGGTCCTTTTGACCTGGTCCAGGGTCAGAAATTGACTGCTTTTAACAACTGCTTTTGCTGTAGCCCTAGAAGCTGGACTTCATAGTGTACTATATGCATGTCTTTTTCCCAGTTTCATTTGTTCCTGCTTCAGCATGTGATTCTTTTCTTGCCCTATTCAATCAAGAATTTTCACTTACAGGAAGCACTTTAAGACTTCCTTTGGGACTTTATGGCCCTCTACAACTTCTCTTTTGGGGCAGGATCAACCATGGTTAACTAAAAATTTGGTAACTGAGCCAGCAGATATGAGGGTCCTGCTGTACACTGCAGGTGTGTTCTGTGGGTTCATATGAGCTGCTGTCAAAATCTAGCAGGTTAAGCCGATCCTTCATGTGAACTGAGGGTATCTCTGTTAAGCTGGGGTGTGAAGAGCCTCCTGCACTCACCAGTAACCACTTTGCTCCTC